TGGGTGCTCAGGTATTTCCAGCATCTGATTCATCTTGGTAATTCATCTGTTGGTTGCCATTTCTCATTCAAGTTGTAGTTTTCCTTGTTCTTGTTATGGTGAGTGACAATTAATTGTAACCTCTGCCTTTGGGTTCAGACTCTGGATTTTGCTGAGTCTTCTTTTGTTAGCAGGTAGTCCCCCTGCTAACGTGCAGAGTAGGGGCCAGGTATGTACATGCAGCTTCCCTCTGGGTGTTCTCTCTGTTCATAGGTGGAAAGGAAACTCAGCTCTTTCCACACCCCACCAATGCTTTCCTGAGAAGTAGGGACCAATTCACACTGTCCCATTGCCTCTGAGTGAGAATGTAAGTTCAACCACCCACTGGGTGCTGCTGATGGCAGAGAAGGGGAGGGGAAACGAAAGCCAACCAGTCCCACCTCCCTCGAACCTGTTCTACTTCGTTGATGCTGAGTGGGAGTGAAGGGTCAGCTCTCCTGAGTTATGTATGGTTCACAGACCAGCAGTGGTGGCATGGCGCTGTGAGAAATACAGAATCTCAGGACCTGCCCCAGGCCTAGGGAGTAAGACTACATTTTGACAGCATTCCCAGATGATTCACGTGCATATTAAAGTTAGAAAGCAGTGATCTAAATACTTACAACTATAAGTAAGAAGCAATGACCTATCTAAAATTTCTGCAACTACATTTACTTTTCTGCAAATGGTACAAGGAATCCCCAGGCCACAGACACGGCCTTGCCTAAAGAAATTTTGTATTCAGCTAAAGATGTCCAGAAGACGGTCCTCCACTTGTGCTTGCCTTTTGGGTATTATAGAAGTTAGCAAACCTCTGCTATCATTCACTCATTGATTTCAAGTGACAATGTTATTCAAGGCCAAATTTCGGCAAGAATACTCTCTTTGAGGTGTAATTTTTACTTTTGAAAAAATCTTCCAATCTAACAACAAAAGAAAAAAGTCCTTGAACATAATGTGAGCCAGAATTTGTTAGACCAGACCTTGAAGCATGGATTGTTGTCTGCCTCACCATTAGTCATTATGTGGCTGATACAGTTTGTTTCTCTCTCCCCACCCAAATCTCATGTTGAATTGTGATTTCCAGTGTTGAAGATGGAGCCTGGTGAGAGGCGATTGGATCATGGGGGTAGTTTCCAATGGTTTAGCACCATCCCCTAGTGCTGTCTCATGATAGAGTTCTCACGAGATCTGGTTGTTTGAAAGTATGTAGCACCTCCCTCTTCACTCACTTGCATGTTCTTGCTCACTCTCTCTCTCTCTCTCTCTCTCCTGCCCCACTGCGTGAAGAAGGTGCTCACTTCCCTGTTGCCCTTCTGCCATGATTATAAGTTTCCTGAGCCCCCCACCAACCATGCTTCCTGCACAACCAGCAGAACTGAGTCAGTTAAACCTTCTTTCTTCATAAATTATCCAATTTCAAGTACTTCTTTATTGCAGTGTGAGAATGGACTAATACAGTGGCTTTTCATGTACGGTGTGAAGGGGAGTCACTCACATCCCCTGATGGCTTCATGATCCTTTTCCACGTCCACAGCCATTTTCTCACACATGTTTAAAGTGTTCCAGAATCCAGTATTTTCAATGTAATTATAATATTAATTACCTTGTAATGAATAACATAATATGATATTATATTATTAATATTAATAATGTAATATAATATCAATGTAAAATAATAGTAAGTATCTTGTAAAAATACCAGACTTTGGGACAAGCAAAAATATTACTGGGCATCCTCTCAATGGATGAGGGTGTCCCTGTGATGATCTGGACCATTAGGGATCAGAGACTTTTCTCGGAGCTGTTTAACACTGCTGTAGAGGTTTTGGTTAACGTGTGGAAAACTGATAGTAATGCAAATAATTGTCCATAGACCTGCAAATCAATTCTATCCCAAAGAGAAACAATGACTTTCACTCCAAGCCAGTTTTACTTCCATTTACAAATTTGTTTCAATATTCTTAATCCATAAATCACTATTGGGTTCTCCTTTGAAACTTTTTGTGACATTTTACTAGTTTCTTCACTTCAAAATGAGTTAAATAATTTGCACAGGCCCTGTTGATGTTATTACATCTCATGTTTGATTTTGTCCGTGATTGTTCAGTGCTTCGTAGGCACTCTAAGAGAGAAAGCGGTGCTATCTAGATGTAAACTCTTTGAAGGCAAGAATGGGGTCTTTATGCCTACAAATGTCACACTAAGAGTGAACAGGCAACCTACAGAATGGGAGAAAATTTTTGCAATCTACTCATCTGGCAAAGGGCTAATATTCAGAACCTACAAAGAACTCAAACAAATTTACAAGAAAAAAACAAACCCATCAAAAAGTGGGCAAAGGAAATGAACAGACACTTCTCAAAAGAAGACATTTATACAGCCAACAGACACATGAAGAAATGCTCCTCATCACTAGCCATCAGAGAAATGCAGATCAAAACCACAGTGAGATACTATCTCATACCAGTTAGAATGTCAATCATTAAAAAGTCAGGAAACAACAGGTGCTGGAGAGGATGTGGAGAAATAGGAACACTTTTACACTGTTGGTGGGACGGTAAACTAATTCAACCATCGTGGAAGACAGTGTGGCGATTCCTCAAGGATCTAGGACTAGAAATACCATTTGATCCAGCCATCCCATTACTGGGTATATACCCAAAGGATTATAAATCATGCTGCTATAAAGACACATGCACACGTATGTTTATTGCGGCACTATTCACAATAGCAAAGACTTGGAACCAACCCAAATGTCCAACAATGACAGACTGGATTAAGAAAATATGGCACACATACACCATGGAATACTATGCAGTCATAAAAAAGGATGAGTTCATGTCCTTTGTAGGGACATGGATGCAGCTGGAAACCATCATTCTCAGCAAACTCTCACAAGGACAGAAAACCAAACACTGCATGTTCTCACTCATAGTGGGAGTTGAACAGTGAGATCACTTGGACACAGAAAGGGGAGCATCACACACCGGAGCCTGTTGTGGGGTGGGGGGGGGGAGAGGGATAGCATTAGGAGATATACCTAATGTAAATGACGAGTTAATGGGTGCAGCACACCAACATGGCACATGTGTATGTATGTAACAAACCTGCAAGTTGTGCACATGTACCCTAGAACATAAAGTATAATAAAAAAAAGAAAAGAAAAAAAAAGAGTGTTGCATACAGAGGTAGATTCACCTGACTTTTCAGGTAAAATCTTATCAGTGAAATTCTCCAAATCCCCATGGTTCACACTTGCCCTCCTTACAACCTCTGCCTGGGATCACAAGCCCCTCCAGACATCATCACTTGTTCTCTTAACCTTTGCAAGATCTTTGGAGGGAAATCTAGATAAGCACAACGAACATTTTTGATGATCTAAGGATAACACCTCTGACAAATTTGTATTGCCCCTTGAATCACAGTATCTGACAACTCTTGTCAAAATTTGAGTTCCTCGCCTGCTGCCGATTGTTTTTGATAGCCTCCGTAGTCTTGGATTTAAGAGCTACTGTCAAGTAGTATCTTTCCTGTCTTTGTTACACAAAGAAATCTGCTTTGCATTAAACTCTCTTTGAAAAAGTGTTTTGAAATATCATTAAAACATGCTTTGTGATTGTGTAGAGAACAGATTGCACAGAACACAAACGACTCTTCTGGCATACCTAATTCCTCGTTGCTCTTGCATATTGAAATCATGACTGCAGGTGTCTGGATGCAGCAGCCAAATGATTCAGGTCAGCAAAGTTCACCCTTGAAAGTCCTCATAAGCCAATTATTTTCACCCTTCTCTCTTTCCTACTCAAGCGTTGGAAGCACTGTTGGGTAAAATTCAGTGTTCAGAGAGCTATGAAGGCAGAACAGGGCCTTAGGTGTTCAGTGGTGAGATTTTAGAGCCAGACTGGTAGATATGTAAGTGTCACTTTGCAACCACTGCTTACAGCTGCACCTCTCCAGGGATCTGACGGAAAAGAGATCTGAGCAGCAGAACTTGTAACAAAACCAAAATCTTAGCATGGTTGGGGTAAGTTTGCATTGTACAAGCAGCTTTCTCCTAAAAATGATGGGAGATCCACATGGAGGAACTTCTGCCACAAGGTTGGGACCAGAGCAGCAATGGGTTACTTGTTCCATCTCCCCTCTGTTAGCCCACCCCTACCTAACAGGTGACCTTCTTGTCCATGAGCCTCCAGGAAAGACATCCTGACAGCCTCCCTTAGAAAACCCTCGGCAGGTTCTCCAATGCCTATGTCCTATTTTGTTTGTTTGCTTTTTGTTTTTCTCTCCTGGTACCAAACTCTAATCATTCTGCAGCAGTTTAGAATCAATTCCTTTTGTGCATTCTTCTATGGCGTCCAATCTTGCACTGCCCTCTGTGTGGACGATTTTAGTCCACCTGAAGATTGTACAAGTAGACCCATTTCAACTTTGCAGCTGAGGCAGACAACCTCACTTCTCTTAGTGTTCTGTTTGTTTTCCAGAAAACAAGGACGCAGTTAGCATCTTGGGGTGTCAAGTCCTCACACTGGCCTCTGCTCCCAGCTCTCTCTTGGGGTGCGAGTGCAATATTTACTTTTGAGGGTCTGGTTTTCCATTTGTGAGATGATGTCATCTACACGTCATACCTCCCAGAGCTGGTCTACGTTTTCAAACAAAAGTAGAGAATGGGACCTGGGTCCTAGGGTGGCATATCCAAGTGATGGAACTGGATACAGATGGAAGAGTCTTTAAGGAGGCGGCTGGGCCCCACCTCGTTAGGAAGAGAAAGAAGAAAAGTGAACCACGGGGGTCTCTGGTGTGGCCTTGTGTTATCTTCTTTGTGTTCAGGGGTAGGTTTTTCAGGAAGATGTCGGGCTATCCCTCCACTTCATCTGCACTCACGAGCTTTCGGGGCATGCACATCTGGGTGATCACAGTAGCCACCTCTGGGTGAAGGCCTCCTGTGGGATTGTTCTCCCTCTATTCGCACAGGTCCGTCATAAGCCAGGCATCACCCACTCTACTTCTGATGGTGAAGATGAGAGGAGAATGGGAGTGAGTTAGCAGCGTCTGCATCTCCGTGAGTAGTAGAGCTGGAAGAGGCCTGGGGAGAAGAGGCAAGAACAGGCGTGGTGACTAGGTAACAAGGCATGGGAAGCTGAGGTTCTGACCACAGTCAGACATGCCACCGACCACTGGGGGAAGCAGGGTCTTGTGCATTTCCAGACCATGCTCTGCAGAGCAGAGGAGACCCTCAAACCTTTGAAAAGGTGAATGGGGAAGAGGAAAGCTGAGGACCCTGACCCTTCCTTCCAACTGAGCCGCTTGGCCTCCGGTTCACACATTGGGCTTGTGTTCATGTTTCACCTAAAACAAAGTTCCACTGACTTAAAAAAAAAAAAAACAGAAAAAAAAAAAAAAAACAGTCTAAAGCACTGGACGCAGTGGCTCACGCCTGTAATCCCAGTACTTTGGGAGGCTGAGGCAGCAGATCACCTGAGGTCTGGAGTTTGAGACCAACCTGGTCAATATGGTGCAACCCTGTCTCTGCTTAGAATACAAAAATTAGTTATGGTGGTGGTGGGCACCTATAATCCCAGCTACTCGGGAGGCTGAGGCAGGAGAATTGCTTGAGCCCAGGAGGCGGACATTGCAGTGAGCCGAGATCGTGCCATTGCATTCCAGTCTAGGTGACAAGAGTGAGACTGTCTCAAAAAAAAAAAAAGTGCCTGGCCTGAAGGAGAAAATCCAAAGTCCCAGGGTAGCAATGCCTGGCATGCCTGGCACCCATGCCTCAACTGGACCCTTCCTCTCCCTCCAACCCCTGAGCCTTTGCAGAGGGGTCCCTGCTCCCTGCCTCTGCACACTTGTCTGTGCCCTTCCTCCTCCCCTCCCCTGTGTCGTCATTCTTGGGAGGTGCTCTTCAGCCTGTCTAGGATGAGGTAGCACCCCTCCCTTTGCTGCCTCCATAGTCCTCTGCAGCTCACGGTAGAATAGAGGCTTCTCTGCTGTATGGAGTTTGAGTCCTCTGTATTCCCACTCCTGGCATGGCGTGGGCCTTGGACCTGGCACAAAGGAAGAGCCTGTAGTTGGCTGTGCATGGACATAAGAACCTAAGGTGGGTGCATAGACTTGAAAGAGAAGACACATGGACTTGCAATGGTCTGCATGGGTCTTCTATTCAGGAACTAGAAAAGCAGCCCGAACATAGCCTTTTCCGAACAGATCTCACTGAAGAGGTTACTTACCCCAACACTTGGTAAGCTTGGAGTGACTTGCCCGATTTGATTAAATGCCTGTGCTTTAATTCTATTTCTTTCTGAGCAGACTTGATTTATTCCGTAGAAGGAACTGAAATCATAGGAAAAAACATTTTGTCCTACAAGGATTTTTTTTAAATGTCATAAATAAAATACATGTACAATACTTCAACCTTTAGATGCTTGGAAAACAGACCCCACGGTGACAAAAAGAGTTGTAGCACATGAGTATCAGTTTGTGTTACAAGTCAAATATTAAATAAAGGTAAGGAGTCATAAAATAAAAAGTTTTAAAGTCCTTTGCTGAGTCTGTAAATTTCAAACACCTAACAGATCATCTGAAACACGCCAGAGGAGGACGAGACCCAGAGAGCAGACCTGACCAACCCAAGCCAGCAGAAAACACGGTCAAGGATAACAGATGATGAAAGGAAACCGAGTCACCATGTGGGCTGTGGGAACCTCTGCTTCTCCCCATAGCCTGCTTTCTCTAGTAAATGCCCTTGAAAGCTAATCAACGAAGTCATACATGTTATTCCTTCTGAAAAAAAGTAGCAGCAATAACTCCAATGCTTGGGGAGGGAAAGGCGTGCAAGGTCCCTCCAAAGGCAGGGCAGGGTGGGGGATGAGATCAGAGAATCATGTCCCCAAGATCAAAGGCATCCTCTGGAGCCCTGACTGCAGGTGGGAGGATACAGCAGGAGACCCTGCGAGTCGTGCTCTTACAACCACCACGGGCGCAAAGGATTTCCAGCCAGGATGAATGCTCAGAGGCACAGTCCCAAAGGCGGGTCCCAACCAAGGGGTCTGTGCTCCTTTTCTTTTTCTCAATCCAGGTCCAGTGCGTTAGAGTTGGTGCAGGGGTACACAAGACAATGCTGAGATTCCTTACGGGGTGTTTGCTTTGCAAAGGAGGGTAGGTAACCTGACTCAGCAGGTCTTTAGGTTGCAGACATGTGGAAATGCTATTTTAAGTCTAGCAGGTGGTGGAAACCACGTATAGTAGGAATATCTTCAGGGCTCTCCAGACAGCCGCCGTCTTACTCAGTGGCCCATTATTCTCACCTGGCCTGTTCTAACCACTCCTGTCATACCCCTGGATCCCTTCTCACACATGCCCACTGAAATCTATCGTCACTACGGGCTCCTCCTAGAACATCTGGAGTTTTTGCTCTACTGCTCTGAAGCTGCTGCTGAGCACACATTGTCAAAGAGACATAGTCCTCCTCCTAACCTGCAGGACGTTGCACAAAAATGTCCAGTTGCTGAGCTTGGGGGAGGCTAGTTCGCACCCCATAATTCAAGACTCTCCTCTTCAGCTTCCATCTATCCACAGCCAGGCCTGCTGTGCCTCCTCAGCTCCCACACTCCAACCTTATGCCTCAGAGCCTGGCCCCTTCCTTCTTTCCTCCCTCATCTTTCTCTCACAGCATCTCTAACTTTTCCGGATTTCTGAATTTCTGTGTTGGCCCGGGCTGCAGTCATCTCAAGATTTGCCTTGGGGAAGATCCGCTCCCGAGGTCACACATGTGGCTGCTGGCAGGTGCTCAGGTTCTTACAACTGTTGACAAAAGACATCAGCCCCTTTCCACGTGGGCAACTCACAACATGGCAGTGTGATTCAGCAGAGCAGGCGAGCTGTGAAGACTTGGGGGAAGAGGTGGGTGCAAAGAGGGAGAGATAGAGGAAAGTCACAGTCTTCCAATCATCTCATCTCAGATGTGACCTCTCTTCCCCTTTTCCATATTCTATGTTACAGTTAAGCCATAGGTCCTGCCCACCCCCACAGGAAGGGAACCCCAGGAGTGTGAGCATCAGCTTACCTTTCCCTGTCATTCCCTCCAAGGGGGGTGTGGGGGTCTCCTTCGCAGCCCAGCACGTCCTGTATCATGCTATCTTTCACTCTCCAGGCCTTTCTGTATCTCCTTCCTCCTTTCTCTGGGGCCAAATACCTTTCTTTGTTTTTCCCTTATTTCTGAGTTTCTGGCTTCTGCCCTGCTCAGAACCCCTATGTCTGCTAGGAAGTTGACTTCCAGATGGCTGAGGTGATGATAACACTATCATGAATGTATCTGGTTTATTTCTTTTAGAAGCTCCCATACATTCCATACATGTGATCTCATTAGCCTCCTAGCATCTCTGCAAACCGGGAGAGTGACAGGTGTTTACGGGGAGGGCATGGGCCTTAAGTAATCTCTTCAAAATTATACGATGAGTCACAGGGAGCACAAGGACTTAAATAGAAACTGCTTGGGTTGCAATGTGGCCTTTTTTCCACTCAGTTGATTGGCAAAGAGTTATTGCTTTTTTTCCACCAACAAATGGGTGTTTACGCCACGCAGATAAGCGTGTTCCAAAATCTCCAGCACTCACCCACTGGGGCCAGGACAAAATCAGCATTTTTCAGCCTGGCATAGTAGGTTCCCTATGCAATTTCTCTTCATCCATGACAGGTCTCCCCACTTTTATCAGCCCCTTACCCACTCTTTGGACCTATACTACGGCTGAATTGCTGTAGCTCTTCGGGATGGTTGCTGCACCTGGACTGCCTCCCAAGACCCTGGAGCATGGCAAGCTGCACTCTTCCTCCAACCCTCAGCTCAGATGCTAAGCCCTTTCTCTTCCAGGCCCGGTTGTAATGATTTCTGTCCATGGTTTTAGCCATGACGCTGAGAGCAAAGAACGCGCCTTTTGATCTGCAATTTCAGCTTGAACAGTGTTCTGCTTACAGCTGTGGAACATACTGTGGGAAAGTATCCCAACACTAGTTGTTTGAAATCACCATTTTAATTTGCTCATTTGTTGTTGTTGCTGGTTTAGTTTTTTGGTTTTTGGGGTTTTTTTTGTTTGTTTTTGTTTTGGGTTTTTTTTGTCTTTTTTGAGACAGGGTCTCACTCTGTCACCCAGACAGAAGTGCATGGCATGACCTCAGCTCACTGCAACCTCTGCCTCCCAGCTTCAAGCGATTCTCCTGCCTCAGCCTCCTGAGTAGCTGGGATTACAGGTGTGCACCACTACAGTCCGGCTAATTTTTTTGTATTTTTAGTAGAGATGGGGTTTCACCATTTTGGCCAGACCGGCCTTGAACTCCTGACCTCAAATGATCCACCCACCTCGGCCTACCAAAGTGCTGGGATTACAGGCGTGAGCCACACTGCCCAGCCTATTTTGCTCATTTGTGTGTCAGGAATTTGAAAGGAGCTGGCTGGAAAGCTCTAGCTTAGGGCTTCTCATGGGTGACCATCAGATGTCATCCAAAGGCTTGGTGAGCTGGCCTTGCACGACGTCTTGCTCACATGGCTGGCAGGTGCACAGGCTGCTGCGTGCAGCTGGACTGGGGTTGTCAACTACAGTGTGTACCCGTGGCATGCTGATCTTAAGGTAATCACACTTCCTGCATGGAGAGTGGCTTGTCTTGGTCTTCAGAGAACCAGGCAGAAGCATGGCTTTCCTGACTGAACCACGAAAGTCATTCAGCACCAATTCCACTGCATTCTGTTGGTCACAAGTGAGTCACGAGGCCTGTCCAGATTCAAGGGGATGAGAATGAGGCTTCACCTTTTGATAAGGAATGTCAAGGTCACCTTGCAGAAGAGCACATGAAACAAGAGAAATTGTTGCAGACTTCTTTGGAAAATATAATCTATGACAAGTGGCATGGCACTTTTGCTTAGTAATTACTTTATAAATATTAAATGACCATAAATGAAGCTTGTCTCTACCCTAGCCACTTGGTGAAAACGAATTGTCACAGAGTGTGGTGGTTCCAGCCACTCTAGGACAGGCTTTCTCTGTGCTTGCTGCTGAACCGCCATCAGAAGTCCCAGATGCTGCTTAAAAAGGCAGATTTCCGGGCCCCACTCTGGACTCATCAGCTGGCGCCTCCCAGGGTATTGTCAAATGTATGTATTTTAATCAATCCCCTGCCCCAGGACAATTCTAACATGCTACCCAGGGGAGATGGAGGAAAAATTTCACATGAGGTTGTATTAGTTACCTATTGCTGTGTGGAAGATGCCTCCAGGTCTTAGTGATTTAAAGCAGCAACCACTTATTATCTCCTGATTTCTGTGGGTCAGGAGTCTGGGCGTGGCTTAGCTGGGTGTCTCTGACCCTGGGTCGCCCCCAGGGCCACAGTCAAGGTATGGACCCAGGCTGCGGTCATCTCAAGGCTTGTCCTCAGGAAGATCTGCTCCCAAGGTCACGCACGTGGCTGCTGGCAGGTGCTCAGATTCTCACCACTGTTGGCAAAAGACCTTAGCCCCTTTCCACATGGGCAACTCACAACATGGCAGTGTGATTCAGTAGAACAGGAGAGCTGTGAAGACTTTGGGGGAGAGGTAGGTGCAGAGAGGGAGACAGAGTAAAGTCACAGTCTTTCTATAATCTAATATCAGATGTCACATCTCTTCCATTTTGCCATATTCTATTAGTGCTAAGTCACAGGTCCTGCCCACCCTCGTGGGGAGGGAACCCCAGAAGTGTGAGCATCCAGAGGTGAAGATGACTGGGCCACCCCAGAGGCTGCCTGCCATAGGTTTACAGAAGCGTGGGACTGGGTGCAGACCACCAAGGAGTTGGTTGAAGGAAACTAGGATATCTGAGTGCAGACTTTATTGATTCTGAGAACGAAGGGCCAAAAGGGTCTGGACACAGGAGAACCAGAGAAACTGTAGCGTCTGAGACATTCCCGAAGCTTCTGGTTGCAGGGGAAGTCTTGACTGCATCTTTTGGAACAGGACCGGACTTAACTAGGCCAAAAAAGGAGAGAGAAGGAAAGGACAAGTCTCACTGATTTTATGAGGACTGCTTTCCAGATCCCAGGTGGGAATGGTACCAAAACAGAAACTCTGCTTTGGTATGTTAGGAGCATGACCCAGCAGTTTCTGTCAGAAGAAGCCCCATGTATCATAATAAAGGTTGTGGTCCAAGCACCCCACCCCCCACATTCTAAAATGGATCCCATCAGTAATTTGCTCTTGTGAGTTAAGAAAATGAAGCCAAACGCAAATCTAACCCGACCTCCTAACCTAATGCTATGAACAACAAATGACTTCGGAAAGGGAAGAAAGAGACATAGACACAGAGACAGGGGACAGAGGAGCAAAAAAAATGGGGGTTTCTAAAGACCTTCCCAGGCTTGGTTTGTGAAGTTCAAGGCAACTTTCTACTTTGTGAATCAACATCATGAAAAATAATATTTTCATCCCCAATGTGGAGAGAAGCAGCTCCAAGACACCATTTATTCAAGCTTTCTGCAGGAAAGGAAAGAGGAAAGTAAGAAAGGGCAAAGAAAGAGAAAAAAAAAAACTGTGAAAACCAAAACAATCTAATCTGGAAAAAAAAAACACAAGCTGAAAACAGAAGTTTCCTCAAGCATTCTGAACTTCAGGGTAAAAAAATAAAGGAATGTGAATTTAGTTATTAATAGAAGTTTCACATAAGGCATTTCTTTTTAAAACAGGTGAGAATTTGGAAATAAGTAACCAAATTGAGGCTTAAGCCAACATTTACAGAGTTAATAAATTAATTAAGAGCAACAGTGGATAAGATACACAAGTAAAAAAAGAAAATCACGTTATATTGACAGTAAAAAAAATTTTGTTAACCTTCTTATTTACTCTTTCATTTTTGGGTAACGGAAGACTAGGTAATTTAGACCAATGCTTCTATTGGAAAGAACCCCAAAATGCCAATCTATGTCTCATCCATCCATATCTATATGTAAATACATATGTCTACTTCTATATCCATAAATATTTATCTCTACCAATATCTATCTCTCTATAAAGGCTTAGAACTTCATGTTTCTATGGTAGCAAACTGAGAGGGTTAAATAAAATCACAGCGCCCAACATGGGGCTTGAACCCAAGACCCTGAGATTAAGAGTCTCATGCTCTACTGACTGAGCTAGCTGGGCAACCTCTATAAAGGCTTAAAGGCAGTAAACAGCTAAGCAGATGGTGAGAAATTAGCTGACTGAAATCCAGAAAAGTTCTGGAATCTAGCAAATTGAGTCAAGCACTTGAAGCTAATTTTTGTCCTGGAGAAATTTCAAAATCTGGAAGCAAGGATTTAGAATCTGAGTTATATTCTTGCTGACCTCATGACATTAGAGAGACAAAGTTGCACAGAGGTGCCCAAGGACCTAGTAAAATAACCCCTCAAAATGACATGAAAAACACTAGGAAAAGGTACCTTTTATGGTGTCGAAGGATTATTTATCCCTTTCCAAAATCACCAAGACTATCCAGTGTCACAGGTGAATTTTTTTAATGTTTGAAGTAACAGAATATTTTAGTGCATTTAAACTATTTCAGAAACTATTTCAGAAAGCATAGCAAAAATAAGAAAGTAACACCATTTTTTTTTACAGTCAGTGTAATGCAATTTTTCTTTTGTAATTAATAAGCCTTGTCTGGGCAGTAAGACCATAGCTCACTTTTGTTGCTTTCTTCTTTTTATTTTTCTGTATTTAGACAATTTTACTAATCATTTTAATGATTAAAAATACATTAAATATGCCTAACTTGGAGGATCAAGGTAATGAATAAGTTTACAAAGTGGTAGGATAGGCAAGAATATCTATTCAATTTTCAAATACGGTCAAAATGTCATAAACTTTTGAACCACACAAATTCAAAGTATGTGGAAAATCAGATCTCAAAATCCAAAATCGCGTGTGCAGAAGGTGCAAATAGGGAGGGTGAAGCAAAATACAAGAGCTTGGGAGAGTGAATGGCCTGGTCGGGAGACCAGGCAGAGGCCACTCTAAGCTAAGAGCCCCTGTGTGCCTGCCCAACTCCTCCACCCCACTAGACATAGAAGATTCATAAACCAGATAGTGCCTTAAAAAAGAGTGATGATTCTCCCATGGCGCTTTAACATACTTCTGGACCATTTTTTGTCCTTCTCTTGTGCAAATATTAAGCTCCTTCTTCTTTCAGATAAATTATTCAGTACTTTTAAATGTCCTAAAATGTTTTGATGTTAAGTCTGTTTTATCTAGCAAAACAAGCATGCAGTGAACACACACCTTGCACCAGCAATATGCTAACCATTTAGGTAAGAACTGGTACAAGAGGGTCATAGGATCACAATTTTAAAAATTGTGGGAGCAAGGTCCGCTTGACCTGTCTATCACGGAGGGCTGACAGAGAGCAAAGCCTGGC